TCGAGGGAAGGCAGGAGGGCTGGTGAACACTCACCTTGGAGGGCGGTTGCAGGCGATGGTCGCTCCAGAGCTCGGCCTCAGCAACAGTCGAACTTCCAAGCGCAAGGGGAGCTGAGCACTGCTCGTGGCGGGCGAGGCGAATGAACGGCACTTCGTCACGACGGGGATCGGAGGCGGCTCGAGGACAACGACAGAACAGCCGCTGTCGACCTGCTCACACCGACAGACAGGGTCCCCCACCCAAAACCAAAATTCGAAATTGTTTCGGGCCGCGCTTGAGCGCGGCCCGCTAAAAATTTCCCTCGGCCCCGAAACGATTTTTGCTGGGGGGCCGGCCGAGGGATGAATCGACAAGTAGGGTTTTTTTTTTTTTGAGTTTTTTTTTTGGGCTCTGTGCGCCCCACAGGTCGTGCGCCGTACTGTCGGGGTGCGCTTGAGCGCCACCTGTCCGTGAATCAGCGGACGACGTCCGCTTGCATGTATGGTCAACACATATGAATGACTGATTAGCTCCGAACAGCAACCTAAATTCACTACTACCCTCACTCCTACGGAACATACCCGATATTTCTTTGCTATTTATGCTTATGATGCACTCTGCAGGGACTCTGATTGAGTTACTCGCTCGAAGGGACCTCGCTCTTGACCGGGGGGGTAGTGTAATGACCCGCCATAACTTAGACTGAGAACACTGCCGATTTCTGAAGTTCTGCCGATGGAATGGATGCCTTTGCTGAGATTCCCGCATTCTGCTGAGTTTTCTAAGTCTATATGTGTGCGTGCTTGTTGACCTGTGTGCCTGTCTGAGTGCTTGTCGGTATGAGTGTGTGTGTGACCCGCAAGGGCACTTGCTTGTTTGGCAGGCCCGTAGGGGCGGTACTTACCTGTGGCCGTGGCATTGAGGGTTGCAGCAGGGAAAACACTCAAGTAGCGGAGCCAGGGGCCCACGGAGCTTAGAGCAGCGAAAAAACACTCAAAAAACTCTCAGGTAGCAGGTAGGCCGGTACTGCACCCAGTAGCAGTAGATGTGTCGGGTACTCAAGGCGGAGCACAAGAAGACAAAGTTGGCATTTTTAGAGGCCCAGCAGCGGTAGGCTAGGTCTAGGCCAGTACCAGTCCATCCAGTCTAAGTCTAGAGCCTGTACGGGCAATATCAGAGTCTGCAATGATGTTTCCCTCCGAAAGGGAGGAGGCACCTGTCGCTTGGAAGGCCGAGTGGCCTGGAAGTCACCCCCCAGGAGGCAAGAAGGCCGCTATATCAAGAGGCCGAGGGAAGAGCTTGGCCTCATTCTTCAGTGTGCGAGTTGGGCGTCACGCTGCTGGACCATTGGTTGGAAGAGCGCTGGCTGCTACAGCGCTGCTGGCAGGATGAAGCTGGGAGCTTCCACCTTGGCTATTGTGGAGCTCTACTGGTAGGAGGAGGAGCGAGAAGGGGACCAAGGAGGAGCGAGAAGGGGACCAAGGAGGAGAGTGGCGAGGTACCTACCTGGCTATGGTGGACACCATCTTCATCACCTTGTCAGGCACTGCATCTGGAAGGCCCCAGTTGGGGTAGTGCCGCATCAAGGAAGCTCGGGACAGAGTCAGGCATGGTGGTTGAGTGGGCAACGGCATAGCTGCCTGTTGTTGACCTTGGGACAAGAGAGCAGCAACATAGCTGCTTTGGCTTCTCCTTTGGACTGGAGGGTAGAACCCTCAGTGCTCCGCCACAGCCTTGGCCTATATGAAGAGGAAGAGGAAGGGTGGCCATGGCTATGGTGAACCTCATGTTGTGCCTGCAGTAGAAGTGGGATTCAGACATTGATTTTGGTTCAGCCATTCAACATTATTATTGTTATTTCTTGTTTGAATAAGAGGGGAGGAGATAAGGAGGAGGAGATTGGTTGGCGAAGAAGAAGAGCCCTGTCATTGGTCTATGATGGAGTACATCATCTTCTTCTTCTTTTTTACTTCTTCTTCTTCTTCTTCTTTCCCTCTCTCCACTCAAGTTCATTCATTTCTTTTGCAATTGGACGGCATTGTACTTTCTGATGAATGGATACCATACTTGCGGCGCATCACGATGCGCTGCACTGCGCACGTGCGCCGCACCGCGCGTCCCTCACGACACGCGCGCACTGCATGCGGCGCACCTCCAAAAATGGGGGTCAAAAAAAAAAAAAAAAGTTGTGAGGGGCAGTAGTAGACCCGGCCCCCTGCTCGCGTAAAATAAGAAACGGGCAGCCAAATTTTTTTTGGAGGCCGCGCGTTGGCCTGAAAGCTTTTAGTAACCTGTAGTTCGGGTAACACTCTGTATGGTAGGGTTATTGCAGTCTGTATGGTAGGGTTCTTGCAGGCCAGATTCAGTCATGATGAGGGTCGCGATTTCGCAAAACGTTCTCTTCTTATTACTTCTGAAGTAGAAAACGACGGAACTGACAGCCGTTTTTCCTGGAATGTTTTTTTTTTTTTTTTTTTTTTTTTT